CTGAATATAAGACGACCCTGATTATAAGACGACCCCCCCTTTTTCCAGATGTACCTTCTGGAAAAAGGGGGGGTCGTCTTATAATCAGGGTCGTCTTATATTTGGGCTAATACGGTAATTCACGTCGAATGGCCATTATTATTTGCCAGCATGGACAACGGCTGTCATGGATGTTTTGCAGCACAAAATCTGACTGAACGGATAAAGACCAGAAAATAACGGTTTAATTTGTTAGACTATTTTATCTACAGCTCGTTAGAGGTAGAATTCTTTAGTGAAATAAAGATGATATTTATTGAAATGAATTTGAACTAAGGAGAGAGAGAGAGAAAGAGAACGAACGAAGGCATGCACCCACGTGCGAGCGAGCGATTGTGAAGCATTGCAAACAACCTTGTCGGTTTAATTACAAAAACTGCTACATCTAATTTGCCATTTATTCATTAACTTTTTTTTTTAAATCAACTTTGCCTCCTTTTTTCCCATAGGCACTTTAACATCCACCTCCATCTTGTCTAGTGCTTTTTTTGCTAGTCATGTGTGTTTAGATGTAGGTCGGATGTCCAGATATCAGATGTGTATCCGATTAAAAACCACATTTGGAAGTGGCTCAGATCAGATGCAAAAAAATCGGATCTCGTGCGGGTTTTTGTGTTTACACGTGTGCAACAAATTCCCTCTGTCTGATCTCGCATGTGCTATACTAATTAAAGCTGAAGACGAATCTGAACATAGTACCACTTTATTTGGTCTGACTTGTTCAACCCACTGTAGTCCTATTATTATAGCTGTTAACTCTGCAGTGTATACTGATAAATCATCTGGCAATTTCAAACTAATTTGTACTTTAAATTTTGGAATATATACACCTATTCCAACCTTTTGATTAGCAGGTTCCTTAGACCCATCCGTAAATATTTGTAATGTTGAATAAAATGTATTATTTAGAATAGCATTAACCTCCTTTCCAATGTATTCACCTTTGGGCTTGTCTAGTAAGCTCAAGTCTACAAGTGGTTCAGGGACTCTCCATAGTGGGGCATCAGTGAGTGGTACATTAGGACAGAAGATCTTATTATCCATGCCATACTCTTTGGCCAATACTCTACTCTTCTATCCAAAACTACATCCTCCATCATACGAATATTCCCAGCACTCCTCCAGTACTTTACGAGTGAGGTGAGTACTTACTGATTGTTGAAGATTCACCCAATACGTCATTGTCAATTTTATCCTTCTAAGTTCAAGAGGCATCTCGCCCATTTCTACCCCAATTGCATCTACAGGTGATGTTTTAATTGCTCCACAACATATTCTTAATGCTCTGGACTGTATGATATCTAATTTTTTAAGTAAAGATTTGGTTGCTGACCTATACAATGCATCCATAGTCAAAGCAGGAACGAATCAATGCTTGATACATACACAACAATGCACTACGACTAGCTCCCCAATTGTGACTAGCAACTGTACACCCAATAGGATTTGATGTGTACCGGGGTATTTCTGTTTTTCATTAAGCGCCATCTAATTTCTGGGAGTGAATTTGCACGTTCACACGGCTCATCGCCTGTGAAAATCGCTTGGGTATGAACACAAAAGACGCGTCGAAAAACGTCGGCGATAAGCGCGCGCGATAATCGTCCCGGTGTGTACGAGGCTTATTCTATGCTCATAATGGAATGTTTCCAATTTCTATTTCCATTCTCATTTCTTTTACATGTATATAGTAGATTTACAGTGTACTCTATACCACTCAAACGTTTGGGATTGGTAAGATTGTTTAAAGTTTTTGAAAGTAGTCTCTTATGCTTACCAAGCCTGTATTTATTTAAACACAAATACAGCAAAACCGTAATATTGTGAAATATTACTACAATTAAAAATAACTAATATCTATATGAATCTATATTAAAATGCAGTTTATTTCTGTGATGCATAGCTGAAATTTCAGCATCATTACTCCAGTCTTCAGTGTCACGTGATCATTCAGAAATCCTTCTAATATACTGATTTACTGCTCAAGAAACATTTACTATTATTATCAATATTGAAAACAGTTGTGCTGCTTAATATTTTATGTTGAAACTGGGATGCAATTTATCAGGATTATTTGATTAATAGTTCAAAATAACAGCATTTATTTAAAAAGAAAACCTTTTGTAAAATGTATAAATGTTTACTGTCACTTTTGATCCCTTTTATGAATTTGGTGAGAAATGTTTGAGTTCGTATTGAAATCTCCGAGCAGAGTTTGAGATCTGAGATTCTGACTAAATTTATTCACCCAAAATGTTGTTCCAAACTTCTTTGACTTTCTTTCTTCAGTGGAACACAAAAGAAGATTTATTCAAGCTCCATAAAAGATTTGATAGTGAATAAAGTCTTAATAGTTGTTTTGTTCATAAGTGCTCATATCAAAACTTACTGTATAATATATCAGTCGAGTTACATAAATTAATTTCAGTAAAACACTCATAATATGGACAAAAACAGCAGAAACATTCTTCAAAATATCTTCTTTTGTGTTCTGCAGACAAATGAAAGTCATATGAGTTTTCAATAATATGGGGGTGAGTAAACGATGACAATTTTTTTAGGTGAACTATGCCTCTAATCAAAAATCTCAGTTTGCTCTCCATAGCTGTCTAGGAGAAACAATTATATGGAAGAGATCTCGTTTGTGTTTTCCCTTCCTGTGAGTAAGGTCCACACAGCATAAATGCATGAGGTTGACGGTGGCGGCCAACTGTACATTAAAGATCCATCTCTCCACGGACATGCCCATAATGCATCCCACAAAGTGCTCCGCCTCATCTGCTCACACAATGTACTTGTCTATCTCCCTACCTCTACTCCACAATCTACCCCCGCTCTCAAACAATCTCCATCCCATCTACAACTCTTAAAGTCAGAGGAAGAATCGATTTACAATGTGTGCTTTGGAGCAGCTCCCTGACAATGCATGGCAGATTAGAGTGACATCTGTGATGAATCTTTCATAAACACTTTCTCCAGCACCGAGGCTTTTCTGAGTTCCCCACGCCGTAGTGAGTGCCTGTTCAGATGTCATCTCGACGGGTCCTCAGACTGAGGGGAGAGTGACACGGAACCCACTGAGTGGGGCATTAAAATTAATCCAGAAGTCACACTCACACAGCTGCAGCTTGACATGACGTTCCTCCGCATTATTCTCTTTGAAACGCGCTTCTGTTCGTGCATTAAGGATACTGAGAGATAAGTGACAAGAGGGCACGGGCCCACACGGAGATACAGGTTACCTCACGCATACATGCCACATCCTGTTCCAATCTATCCCCTGCCAAAAGTCTGTCTGCAACGAAGCCGGCGTGCAGCAACCAGAACAATGCAGCAACTACTAGCAACTTGCCTTTGATTCCATTTGACACTTGATTTCAACACCATTCATATCTACAATGAAAGAAAAAGTTTTAGTCACAATGTTTCAATACTTTGAAGCAGCAAAAAACACTTTCTGTCATGAAACATGAAACTAAAGCGTACAAACACACATAGTTCTGGTCCCAAAGAGGAGTTCACTTTTACATCTTTTATTGTGTTTGAATTCTTTATGGCAATATTGTTTTAATTCAACTCATAATTCATTTTGATTCATCATTCTTTTGTCTACTATGGGCTCACTACATTTGCCTGTACATGGGTTTTCATGTGCACTGTTGGTGTGGAACATTCTCTTTAATTTACAGCTGATCTCAAGTACACAAATGCCGCTGACAGGCTGATAAATGATACAGTAATTGCTAAAATGGTCTTAATGACTCCCAAATTTAATCTATGAGGGACAAACCAAAAATATGGTGAAACATTCTAAAACACCTGGTGAAAGCCCTCTCTGAATGTTTAATCGCCTTTTCTTATTGTAAAAAGTCCTACTAGGGTTTACACTCATTTGCATACAGCCCGGTTCCATGAGTGCGGCTGATTCTGATGGATTTTCTGCATTTGCTTGCTGCTTTTCCCACTTCCAGCACTCAAACGCACTCCATTGTCCATTTTTGGGAGTGTTTTGGCGTGGGGGGTTGGGGTACAGATTCTGAAGGGAGTTGATGCAAATGATGTCTTGTATTAAATATTGATCCCACTCCATTTCAACTGAAGGTAGACCTCAAACTCGCAAACAGACGCTTGTCTCTTTAAATCAGCAGAACTGTCGCTTTTGTGGCTGTCTGTTTACAAAATAAGAGACTGAAAATGAGACCTGGTCCCAAAAGACGACCTCCTTGTTTAAATGTGTGCAGCAGAGAGAGAAAAAAGAACCTGAGGAGGAGGGAGAGAGGGAGCGAGAGAAAGGTGTGCGTGTGAGATATGAGAGAGAATGTGTGTGCTACCTGAGGTGATCCTACTTTTTGTTTTTAAACACTCCGAGAGAGCAACGTCACAGTACTTGACAGCTTGTTAATGTCACCACGTTGTTCCTGAAAATCCCATGGTGCTTTGCATTAGCACTCTGCTTGCCTCACACCCCTGGGCGACCTCACTAAAGTAGCACCATGAACACACACTGCCCAGGAGCATTGCTCATACACACACATGAAAGCTCAGCAGGATACGGCAGCCAATGCAGTGTCTATGAGAGTAAGACTGCGTTGGAATGATTGTTAAATAACACAAGAATACAGGCATATTTACACTGCCACTTATGTACACAGGAACATGTATTAAAACACTACAGAAGAACGTGAAACATACATATCCTGTTACATGTCAGAAACTCTCTGTTTAATCGATAAGGATGCTCCAAGAAAAACATATTACATTGATTTACTGTTTGATTCCGTGTATAGCAGTGGAGAAACATTTTGAAGAACTATATATTTATGGTATGGCATACAAAGTACTCTGTGGTTATGTTGCAACTTGTTACGATCCTCTCTTCTTCAAAACATTTCTGTCAAAATTCCTTATTCGTCTTATAGAGCAAGATGTTAATAAATAATAAAAACAATGTAGAAATGCTAAAATTTAAATAAATTTGTTGATTGGATAACTGTAAATGTAATAACTGTATGTGTGGATAACGGTGCGTGTGTGTGTGTGTGTGTGTGTGTGTGTGTGTGTGTTTATATGTATATTTTTTCATTGTGAAATTTCGAGTGAAACAAGTAAAAAGTATCATTTATGGATAAAAAGAACAAAATATTTGTTTCTTCTTACATGAGTTTTTCTATGGGCAGCATAAAAAGAGAACAAAGAACAATTACTACAAATTATTTTTTCTTTTATGTTGCATTTGAATCATATCTGTCAAATTTAGTTGTGAACTGCTTTAAAAAGCCTTTTTTTTATTTTTGATAGCCTGATCTACTAATTAAAAAGTATTCACATAATCCAAAAGGTATTTTTGCAGTTGAGACCATAATATACATCTATTTTCATAACCTCAGGGTGCTTTGCTCTTTACAACCTACTTAATTCAGTGTCTCTAGAGTGTATCATATGATTCTAGCTTTAGGCAACAAAAGCTATTTACTGATAGATTATCAACAACCCAACATGAGCTCAGAGAACTGAACTTGGAGACCAAATGATGAGCTCTGCTAAATATACTACATGAATACAACTTTACACTTGACTGAATACATTCATGCACCTTTATCTATCCACCAAACACTACTTATTGACAAAGATCATCTCATTAACTGAATTAGCTGTCAATCAGTATACAGACTTACTGGATCAGGAATATAGCCACACACATGCTGCTGTACATTGCTATTTCTCTCATCTGAATTTAATATTTGAATTTTAGAGTGATTTCAATACCTTGACGTGACCAAAGGTGTTTATACAAAGCAACTTACAAGTTTTGCACTTCCTGGGAATCAAACTCATGACCTTGGTGTTGCTGGTGCCATAGTCTCCTGTTTGAGCTTCAGAGAGTCAACACTTAACACAGGTCAATTCTAATAAGTATGAAAACTTCAATAAGAACATAATCACTCTAAAAAGTAAAAGTAATCTGTATTATTTTTTTGGATGCTTCAAAGGCAATGAAATGTGTGATATACTGTGCAGCCCTGCCATCTAGTGTTCTATTGTGAACTCAAGGCTGCATATCAAATGAAGGTTTTGTAAATTTAGAATAGGGATTGGTGTATATTTTCATAAAGGATATATTATAATTATTTATATAATAAGTATTATTATAATTTCCCATTTAAATAATCTATACTCTACATAGAATAGGGATTGGTGTATCTTTTCATAAAGGATATATTATAATTATTTCTATAATAGGTATTATTATAATTTCCCATTTAAATAATCTATACTCTACCATTCTAAAGTTTAGGATAGATAAGAATTTTTAATGTTTGTTTTTTTAATCTCTTACGCTAACAAGGGCTGCATTTATCAAAAACGCTGCAAAAACAGTAATATTGTGAAATATTATTACAAATTCAAAATAACTGTTTTCTATTCAATATATCTTACGATGTAATTTATTGCTGTGATGTACTGCTGAATTTTCTTTTTTTTTTTCATTTTCTTATTTATAAACAGTTAACAGCTTGACATTTTTGTGAAAGCCGTGATACTTTTTTTCAGGTTCCTTTGATAAATTGAACGTTTATTTGAAATAAAATGTTTATTTTTGTAACAATGTAAAAAAAATCTTGATCAATTGAATGCATCCTTGAATAAAAGTATTAATTTCTTAAAAAAAAAAAAAATACTGTTTAAAATTACTGTGCAATTACTGTTATTTATGATTATTGATAATTGGCTTACAATTAATCTGTGTTCATGCATTAGAGGTATTTCAAAATGGGTAATTCGTTTTCCTCGCTTGTCCAGTTCGAGAATACAGACAATGATAAAGACAGAAATAAGATAGAACACTGATTTTTCTTACTAATATGGTGTCTGCTTGACCACTGGATGAATCTGGAATGAAATTAGATTATACTAAATAAGAGACAGAAAAGATAATGAAATAGATAAAAGATGTATAGGATCTCTTAAGTATATGTAAAATTAATAGCAGCCTGAAAAACTTGACTTGCAGCCACTTCATCAGACCGAGCTTAAAGTCTACTGTGATCAGGCCAGACTGTGAAAATTACATCTACCCGCAACCACTTCTTCTGCTTTCAATGTAATGCACATTCATGCAAATAAACACTGGCATGTCCCCCTAATGGTCGCCATTTGATAACTGAACTTTCCCCAGTCCTACAGCCATGCCTTGGGCAGCCAGGCAGGGTGATCCGACCCTCTCCCCCCACCTCCATAAACCCTCTGTCCCTTAGCATATTGCAGTCCTTCCTTGTTCAGTTCACCCCATTTAAGCCTGAGGGCGTGCGTCTCTGTCGCTCAAATGTGGGGTGAGGAGAGCAATCACGTCCAGGTCATTGGGTTCTGCATGGGAATAATTCTTACAGGCCCCAAAGTCTGGTGTCACTGAGGGTGAACAGTCCCGTTTGGATAAGAAGCCTCCTGCTCAGGCAGATCGTTTAGAATACTGTTGGATCAAGGCCAGGTATTTCTGTCAAGAAGCAGTGATGAATGTGTTAACCCTTTCATATCCAGGATTATTACCACCAAAAGCATGCATACTGCAACATTAAACTGTCTAAGAAAAGTAACCGATTGTCAAGAGAACAAATATTCATCGTGAATTGTGGATAGCGTTTCTCATCAGAGACGTTTCGTAATGTCATTTAAGTGTAATGGCTGTTGTCAACCAAGAGGTGGCAGCAAATGATGGTTTATACATTGGCCTATGCCTTTGATTTCAATGGCCAGAATTTATGCTTTTTCTTTCCTATATTAGTAAGGTCAGATAAGTACACTAAAAAAAAATATATCAGACGTTTCACAATTACTTGCAAAGAAACTGCAAGTAACACTTGAATTAAACACTGAACTAATGTTGAATTTATTTAAACGTGACATTTTTAAATATAAAGATTGAAATGGGTTTTCTTGTCAAATTTACTTCAATAATCTTGGTTTTATTTACAGCTTTGAAAAATAGTTTTTTCTGTGAAAAAAAAATTCATAAATCAATCTAACAAAATATGTCATAATCGTGTATAATATGCCATGTTCTAAGTATTTAGATGTCTTTAGAAGGAAAAAATAAAAATTATTAAATTATTCAAGTATTTATATCAGCCTAAAATTATATGGAATATTGGGCAGTTACAATAATTATGTCAACAGTTTCACTTCATTTTCCTTTTCAATGCAGCTGTCCTCAATTCCTTGATTGCATCATAAACATCGCTTACTTTATAGCAGATCAATTTTGTTGCCATGAAGAGCAAAGAGCCACTTGGGGAACTTCACAATAAACTAGGAATTAAAAAAAGCTGGACAAGGATATAAAAAGGTTGGCAAAGCTTTGAACCTCTCTAAGAGCACTACAATGTCCATTGTAACGAAATGAAAAACACATGGCACAATCCAGACACTGCTAAGATCAGGCTGTCCTACAAAATTGAGCAACAAGGCAATGGGAGCAATTGTAAGTGATGTGACCAAACGGCCAGCTACAACACTGACAGAGCTTCTTTGACTGAAATAGGAGAAACTGTCCAGACATCAGCGTCTTCAGCACTTCTTAGACTCTGCCTTTTTGTTTTTTTTGTTTTTTGGAAGAGTGGGTAGAACTAAGAAATACATTTTTAAGAAAATAATTTGCTGAAGGCATGTAGCAAAACGTGAAATATTTTGTAAAAAATAAAATAAAAAAATGCACTCATCGGCCTGACAGTAAAGAGCAAACTAAATACAGTCGAACACCCTAGCATCTATTCTTTCCATCAAGTATTGTGGAAGAAGCATCTTGCTTTGCTATTCAGCAGGAGGAACAGGAACGTTTCAGGCATAAAGCTGAATACAGGCAAATCCTCAAGGAGAACCTGTTTCAGTCAGCCAGAAAAGATCAGGCTGTCCTACAAAATTGAGCAACAAGGCAACAGGACCAATTGTAAGTGATGTGGCCAAATGGCCAGCTACAACACTGACAGAGCTTCTTTGACTGAAATAGGAGAAACTGTCCAGACATCAGCGTCTTCAGCACTTCTTAGACTCTGCCTTTTTGTTTTTTTTGTTTTTTGGAAGAGTGGGTAGAACTAAGAAATACATTTTTAAGAAAATAATTTGCTGAAGGCATGTAGCAAAACGTGAAATATTTTGTAAAAAATAAAATAAAAAAATGCACTCATCGGCCTGACAGTAAAGAGCAAACTAAATACAGTCGAACACCCTAGCATCTATTCTTTCCATCAAGTATTGTGGAAGAAGCATCTTGCTTTGCTATTCAGCAGGAGGAACAGGAACGTTTCAGGCATAAAGCTGAATACAGGCAAATCCTCAAGGAGAACCTGTTTCAGTCAGCCAGAAACCCGTGTTTAGGTCGAAGATTCCTTTTCCAGCAGCTCAAAGTACACAGTAAAACCTGGCTTGAATAAAACAGAGCAGAATGATTCAGCCAGCGCTCAGATTGAATTCAGAAGAATTGTCTGGATGATTGGTTTAGAAAGTCCATAGGCTCAGTAATCCAGTGACTCTCTTTCAATCAAAAAAAAAAGAGTGTTTTAACTCTTTCTAGAGCCCAATACAGAAAAGCAGCCATGTTTTACATTGTCAACAGTTATCAGTGAATCAACAGATTTGGAGATTCACTGATGGAGAATGCAACACTGGAAACACTAAAATGTGAAGCAATGCTCTGGACCTGGACATAACTAAAACACATCATTTGGATTGGAAGAAACAGATAGGTGTTGGAAATAGCATTTCATGCTTCAGCCAGTGGATATGCTTAAGCTTGTGGCCTACATGTCATTTACCTATTCATGAGGTTTTGAAACAATTAAAATATACTGAAATAAACAGACGCCAGCTTTGCTGTAACTCTTCTCCAGAAAGCCCACTAAAAGGGTCAATGGTTCCTTCAGATTCTGTCTATTTGCAAACCACACTTGTGCTTAATGTTAATAAAACAAAACAAAATATAACCAATACAATTTGAATTTAGTTTAAAACAAAGCTATATTAAAGAAAATTAATTAATTAATAAAAAAAAACAAAAAAACATTGTTGACAAAAAGGGGGGAACAGCACGATTTTGAGTGCGATCCTGATTTTAAACAACACTTAAATATAAGAAGTTACTATTTATTATCTTTCTGCCAAATTAAATTAGTTCCAAACAAAGTCGAGGCATGTTCGACCTTCTCTGAGATACACAGATCAGTGACATTTCATACCTAAATGAATGAGTGTTTTAAGTGAATCATTTTAATCACTCACTCACTCATAAAGACACTTGTAGCTGTCAGTTTACCTGGAACTAGTAAACACAGATAAGCTGAGTGATACAATGATGGACCATAATGTGCGTTCAGTCAAAATGATCATAATGACAAAACTGAGCTAAGAAAGTGAACGCCTTTTATAATAATTGCAGCAGCTATTTACGACACAGATTTGAGGATCGTGACTGACTGTTGTATAGAAACCAACATAATTTAATTAAAATAATAATAAAATCCATATCCCTAATAATTATTGCATGGAGTCTGAATTATGCTATAAGTGCATGGTGCAGTTTGACCTCTTGATAGCAGAGATCTTCAAGGTTGACCTCCTTATCTAATGATGAGCTACTGTATTTCAGCTTGCTATTCCTAGAACAATATAAGATGTCACTGGTGAAAATCACTGCAGTGAATCTTGAGCACTGCATCCATCCGCCACTGATCTTTCCACAGATCTAAAGCCCTACTTATTCTACATTTGACAACACTTTAACTGCAAGCATAAATGTGCTAAGTCACCATTAATGCTGATATATTGTACAGTCTTACAAACCTTAAGATCTTTAATAAAGTATGGGATACTTCAAAACAGGCCTATAAATAAGTGATCATTTATAGCATTCTTAGAGGTGGACTTTTAAGCGGCAACCTGCAGAATAGTTATCCAGTTTTAAGGTTTTTTCATTGCCATCAAGCCCAGGATGGAAAGAAAACAAGATGCACCTGCACACTATGGCACAGCGTAATGGAATATATGTAGTGACACATTAAAAGCACTATGTATTTCTCATTTATGCTATTTATCAGTGTCCTTCACTGCCAAGTGTATATGCCATGGTGACATAGTTTTGGTTGTTGACTAACAGCATCCATTTTAGTAAGAGCAGTGAGCGGCTATCTTCTCCCCTGACATCCCGGGCGATAAAAGTGACACTTCACAGCAGATGTAAGTGCTCAACCTGCCATGTCACTTTGAGTCTAACAGCTCCTAAAGGTGATGATACACGGGGCAACCTTTTGAGCAATGTTGCTGGGCAATGTTGCCGTCAGCGGGCAACTAGGTGAGACACAGGGCCCACAGCTGATCTAAAGTATTCAGAAAGAAATTTGTTGCCCATTCAGTGGGAAAGTGCCCAAGCAACATTGCTCAAAAATTTGTTGCCCCGTGTATCATCACCTTAACTGTACACTCTCATCTCAAGAGCCTCTGTGTCTCTGCCATGATGTAAACATGCTGCG